GTATAACTGAATACAGCACAGTTTATGTACCTATATTGTTAATTGTGTTTAGTTCTATTTTTCACTATTTTAACCAAATGTTCCAATAATCTTGGACATGTTGTGTTATGTGTATGCTAGGTGTGTGTTAAACAGAACCTATGAGTGTACTTTTTAAAAATAAAAGCTAGGTACTTTTGCAATTTCACTTGAAATTTAAAATTTCCAAATTCATTGTACTAATGTAGACTTTTAATTTATGGCAAAATTAGCCTTTTGTTCATATCTTCTAATCGCACTTTGTTTTGTTAGATTTAATTTTTGCTGTTGCTGATGTAGAATACTACCCTATTGTGTTTTTTTGGCAATTCCCTTTAAATGTCTCAATTTGTAAATTTGATTTTTTTGTTACCCACTTATTGATTTGTGAGTTATTGATATAGTCTGAATACTCTGTATATTGTAAGGTTTTCAAATTTCTTCTGTGAGACTGGAACATTTTTCACTTTATTTATGGTAGCTATGTATTTATGTATTTAAATCTAGATGTTCCTCAGTCTTTTACTTAAGAATTTGTTCATTTTTTTCTTGTGGAAGACTTCCCATTATAAAGTCCTAAAAATAATCTTCTATTTTGCCTTCTAAATTTTTAGTATTTTACTCTCAAATGTATGCATCTAAATTATCTTAAAAGTTTTTGCTGTTAATGTGGCATTAATACAATACATAGTTTATTATTATTCTATAGTGTCAACCAACTGTGCCTTCACCATTTATTAACTAGTCCATTCTTTATCCAATGATTTTAATGCTACCATTGCATTGAAAAGTTTTCATATGTGTGTAGATTTCTGGAGATGCTTTCTTCTGTTCTGTTAATTTGTCTGCCCTTAGATAATGCCGTATTATTTTAATTGCTAAAACTTTAAAATATTACTTTGATGTAAGTCACTCTTACTTTTCAAAGTAAACAACTTTTGACCTCTTAGCATTACATATGAATTTTAGAATCAACCTGCCATTCTCCATGAAATTCCTTGTTGGAACTGTAGTCAATCTATAGATTTGGTGAAAATTAACTTTAGAATATACTGAGTATTCTTTATTGCCAACATGATCTATCTCTCTACTTTCATTAGTGGTTCAACAGAACTTTACTATATCCTAAAAAGATCTTTACCTTTTAAATAATATTTATTGATAAGCAACTCATAGTTTTAGCAAGAGTGTGTGTATTGTATATACATATGTGTGTGTGTACATATATGCACATATGCATAAACACACACATATATATTTTTACAATACACATGTTTTATAAAAATGTTATTCAAGAAATAGTATTTATTATGTGTATAAATACATACGCTTGTGTGTGTTTTCTCTATCAGTCTAAATTTCTCATTTTAATATATGAGTCTTTTATTTTTTTCCTTACCTTACTCCTGGGTTATGTCAAATGTAGTGGTGAATAAGAAAAGTCATACTAGCCATCCTTCTTTAATTCATAATAATCAAAGAAAGTCTACTTATAATTTATCATTAATTATACTATTAGAAAGAGATTTTTATACACAAATATTTTAAGTCTTGGTCATTTTCCCATTTATCCTTTTCCCATAAGTTTATTTTTCTACAAATTGCTTCTCTTCTTAAGGTTTTCAAATTTGTTGACACATTTATTTACTGCTATTTACTTTTAAAATTTCCTTTTTATATATCACTATCTCTACTTTTCCATCCCTATCGATCATCTTTTTTATACTTTTATTCTGTGTTGTCTAAAGACTATCTAGCCTTATAAAAACATGGCTACACAAGCTTATTGTTGGTTATAATTTGCTTTGTTTAATTTTTTAATTTTATGTTTGACCTTTATTTCCTTGTAATTTAGGTGTTTTCTCATATATTTTTAAATCCAATCTGAAATATGTGTGCTTTTTGGTAAAGTTAATCAGTTACATTTTATTGAACAGTTTTATTTTGATTCCTTACTAGCCTGTGACTTATACACTCCTTTTATTTTTTAAAAAAGATTTTATTTCTTTTTAGAGAGAGGAAGGGAAGGAGAAAGAGAGGGAGAGAAATATCAATGTGCGGTTGCCTCTTACGCACCCCTAATGGGCACCTGGTAACCCAGTCATGTGCCCTGACTGTCATGTGCCCTGAGTGGGAATTGTACTGGCGACCCTTTGGTTCACAGGCCAGCATTCAATCCACTGAGCCACATCAGCCAGGGCTCCTTTTTGTCTTTTAATTGGTTACAATTACATGTTCAATTTGTTTTGTTTTGAGTTCTACATAGTCAATACTTTTTCACCATCTCCTGTTTTTTGTTTTTCTTTTTCCTTTTTAAAGATTTTATTTATGTATTTTTAGAGAGGGGAAGAGGAGGAGAAAGAAAAAGAGAGAAACATCAATGTGCAGTTGCATCTCATGTTTCCTGCAGGGTACCTGGCCTACAACCCAGGCAGATGCCCTACGCTGGGAACCTAACCCGTGAGTGTTCAATCCACTGAGCCACACCAGCCAGGGCAGCTCCTATTTTTTTGGTATTCTTTGTCCTAGTTTCAATTTCTGAAATACATTACTTAAACTATTTTGATATTTTATAATCTGAAAGTTATTAATATAACCCTAATTTCTGAAGGACATTTCATTTGAGTAAATCATTCTGTAATGCAAATTTAAGTCAGACAAGTGAAACTTTTTTTTTTCTAAGCTTTCATTTCACTATTCCCTTATCCCCATTATTGATTTTGAGTCTATTAGCGCATTTATTATTTCAATGTTTATGTTCTTTTATGCCTGGCTGCCTGTAAGATATTTTATTTTCTTTGCTATTCTGATTTCACTCTGTCAGGGTGTTACATGGTTTTTATGTGTGATACCTGAACTGAGGATTCTTTTTAAATGAATCTTCACTTAATATATGTTTAATATATCCTCTTCAGGTTTTTTATTTCTCTTTTTCAGGAATTCCAATTATTCTATACTTGAGCCTCTAATTCTATCCTAATTTTCCCTTTAGTCATTTATATGTTGCCTCTACCTAGTCTCTTTAGCTGTCTTGTCTACAGTTAATTCTTGATTTTTTTTACTTTGATACTATATTTTATACATCTAGAAGCTTTGTTCAGTTATTTTTATTTAAAAAATCTAGTCTTTTCAAGTTGAATATTCTCTTCTATGATCTTTGTAACTAATTATAATAATTATAAACATACTCTATTTCATATAGTTTGTAGCTTTTGTTAGATCAGTAAGCCTTATTGGTTCAAAATATATATTAATCCCTTACTATGTAGTAAGCACTATTCTAAACACTGGGCATAGAGACATTAACAAAATAAGTAAGTTTCATTCCTTGTGAATTTGAGAGTTGAAGAAAGGTGATTTTTTTTTCTATTAATCTTATGAGAATTACTATCACAGAATCTAGTGGTGACTGGTTAAGATATTGTCCTCTTAATAGAGTCTGTGTACAAGGGGGGACCCCCCAAAAAATATATATTTGTAAAAACTCGTGTATTTATTCTTACATGTTTAAATTTGGTCACCTTCAAAGTGCTCTGTATTTGATGCAATACACCTAGCAAGACATTTTTTCCACTGTTCAAAACAGTTTTTGGACAAGTTGGTTTTGATGCCTTGTAGTGCTTCTGCTGTTTTTTGTTTCACCTCTCCCTCATTGACAAAACATTTCTCTTTGAGGACTTTTTTCATAGGGGTAACAAAAAAAAAATGTTGCTCAGGGCAAAATCAGGTGAATAGGGAGGGTTGGGCAGAGGGGTTATGCTGTTTTTGGTCAAAAATGTTGAACTCAGTGCAGTGTGGGCCAGTGCGCTCATAAATCAGCAATCATGAAATGGGCAAATGCACTGAAAGAATCTTAAAAAAAAAAATTCACTGAAGCTGAATGCAGCTTCTCACAACAATGCCAGCTGGTGCACTGATACAGATGCACTCCCAGAGCACTCACCTAGCGGAGAAGCCTGTACTACAAGGGGCCTGCCCTCTGGGAGATAATTTCTTTTGGGGTCTACCTCCTATATTTTCTAACATAACCAAACAATTACATATTTTTTCATAAAAATAAGATTTAAAAGTACTGAGAAATGCCTCACTTCTTTTTTCTATTTGAAATTTTCATAAGTATGCATTCCTGAAAGTGATGCATTGAAAGTTCTAAGCTTGCAATATTTGTGTTAAGGTGACATGTGGGCAATGGCCAAGAAATACTTGCATTCAACTTACCAGAGCATTTACCACCCTACTAGAGAGAAAATTAAGGTGGAGTGTATCAAAAAACATTTTTTACTTCTTTAGAGACAATTCTAGAAATTAGTTTAAAAGGTACAAATATTTCTAATTAATTCAATAAAAAAGACTTGGGTTAGGGAATGGAGGGATGGAGCAAAAAAGGAACAAGGATTCATGGACATGGACAGTAATGTGATGGTTTTCGCCGGGAGGGAGGTGGCTGGAAGTGGAAGGGGGATAAATGGTAATGGAAAAATTACAATAAAAATGATCATACAAAAGAAAAATAAAGACACTGAACCAAGGTGAACTAATTTAGCATGAAAAGAACAGTTGTAATGATTACTATATTTGCAATAGATGAAAAAATCATGTAACCCTTCATTAAATAAAATGATTGTCATCCCATATCAGGAAGTCATAAGCTTACTCAACAACAATTTCCTTCAAATATAGCCTGGTGAATGAGGGAAGAGAAAATCTCTAGATGGATCAAGTCAATGATTATTCAAACACTCAAGAAGGAAATAAATTTAGAAGATGGGACTTAGGACCTTGATATTAAGCATCAATGCACAATATGTCTATGAAACATTATTAATCTTGGTTCATTTTCTAAAGGGCTTTTTTGCTCAAGAAAAAATGGGTATAGTAAAATTCAGCAAGTGTTCATGGAAGAAAAATGCCAAGTTTACTTCTTAGTAACAAAATAGTCATATGGTTTTTAGACAATGAAAAACTGTTAAGTGTTTAATTACATCTGACTGAACTCCTCCTCTTGATAGTGGCTGTATTTTCTCTGGAACTGTAATGTGCACACGTAGCATTTCAGAATCTGTAAGCGCAAAATGTTTTGTTAGAGGAACACCCATCACCTCCTATCTTCTTTCATTATTTCCTCATCCAAATCTATACTATTCTATATGCCACCGCTTATTTTTACTATCCTTTCAAATACCCTCAATCCACAGTCTTTCTGGAATGACAAGACTTTGTACAGAGAAACAGGTATATTGTTTGAGAAATATTGGCCCGTGCGTCGTTCGTGGTAATACTGAGGCAGTAAGACCAGGCACTCTCGGTACATGTAAACTCAAGTCCTTTTGACCTTCCAACTACAGGGTCCAGGGGTAAAATTGCAATGCAGTATATGAAACATTAATCCTGAGGCATCCCCTCAAACCATACATGGCATCTCCCATTTTTTCTGTGGTCCCAAGAGTAGTGGGAAAGCCTCCTGGTATCCAGTGCTTGCGGACAGGGGTGATATGGGACTGGGACCCTCCCACAACGTAGCAGTTTCCCAGGGACACAGCCTCTCAGAGGGAAACCCTGAGGAGACTCACTTGACTGGCAGGACAGAGGGTGGCGGGAGGGATAGTATACTTAATACCATTAACTGTCTGGAGCCCGGTGAGCCCAACGAGCAGAAACAGAAAGCACAGCATGGCTTGACGTCCTGGATCCCGGCCGGAATACTGGCAGTTGGCTTGGCTAAGAAGGCAGTTGGAAGCGCGAGGAGACCTCTGAAGAGGCAGGCGGCTCCGGGAGCAAAGGTGGGTGGGGACAGACCACTCTGTGAGCTGTTGTGCTTGGGCGGCCGAGGCCCCCGAATCTATGCAGTCGGAGGCTTCCATTCAGTTTCACGCTGCTTCGTGGCCAGCAAAGAACAGAATCGCTTCCAACTGGCAGGGCTGAAGAAACAGCTAATGAACAGGAAGACTGATATACACATCTTAAGTGAACTTCTAATTTAAGTTACATACACATATGTCTTTTCTACAGACCACAGGTGCACAGCTCAACTAATATTCAAGTGAACAAACAAGTGTAATTAGTACCTACATCCAGATCAAGAAATAAAGTGTGGAGTCACCAATGCCCCAGATTGCCTCTGACAATCGTTACTTCTAACAGCATAGATTAGTTTTGTCCTGTTTTTGAACTCTATATGAATGGAACTCTAAAGAGCATGTACTCTTTAAGGTTTGAGTTCTTTTATTATACTGATTATTATTTCCAGATGAGTTAGTAGGAATGGCTTTGTTTATTTTTTTTTCTCATTGGCAATATTACCCATTGAATGAATATAACACCATCTGTGTTTCCATTTTATTGTTAAAATTTGTAGTGGTGGCTATTAAAAACCTTATTTGGCTATTTCATTTCTTGTGCATGTCATTTGGTGAACATAAGAATTTTCATTGGGTATGTTACTAGAGTGAAGTTCACTAATCAAGGATGCTTTAGTAGATCCTCCCACAGTTTTACAAGGTGAGAATTACACTTTACATCAATGCCTAGAGATTTTTATTTTTTTATTTCCTTTAAATCATTTTGGTGGAACTGTAGATGTCCTGCATTTTGGTTTTAGTTTGCATTTCATCATTGTTAATGATTAAGTTAACAATTAACTCAGCATAGTTTTACATGTTTACTGGCCATTTATATAGCTTTTTTTCGTAAATGTCTATTTGAGACTTTGGTCCATTTTCTAAATGAGTGGCCTTGTTTCTTATTATATGTGAAAGCTATTAATGTATTCTAAGTATGATTCCTTTGTTGAATTATTATAATTGTAAATATCTTCTATGCCAGGGACTACATACACATTTATATTTAGAAATTTACTTTTTTCCCTCAATTTGCTGGAATTTTTATGATATGTATCCTACCATGGATGTTGAATTTTATAAGTTGAGGTGATTATATAAGTTTCTCCATTTTCTGTTAATGTTGTGAATTCAGATTATTGTTTTTCCAGTATTGAAACAAAGTTGTATTCCTGGAATATACCCTATTTGGTCATGATGTATTATCTTTTTTGTAGCTTGCTGGATTGATTTACTAGCATTTTGTTTAGGGTTTTTGCATCCATATTCATAAGAAATATTTGTAATTTTTAATCATAATTGTCAATTTTTGTATCAAAGACATCATGGCGTCATAAAAGAAACTGGGAAAGTTATCTCTGCCTTTCTTCTTTGAAAGAGTTACTGTGATTTAATGAGTACTTCTTTCTTCCTTTACTGTGTCTGAGAATATAGAAATGGAACAATTTGCACTTAGAGTTTTCTTTGTGGGAGAGTTGGATATTTTTTACTCATGAATCTAATTTTCTAAAAAATATATTCAGATATTCTTTTCCTTCTGTTAGAGGAAGGCTAATTTGTGATAGAGTTTGTACATTTCTTCTGACTGGTTAGATGTCTTGGACAAAGCTGCAAAGTTTGCAAAGGCGGAGACCAGGAAGGCAGTTCTCCTACATTAGGAAGCTAAGCTTGCTCAGACTAAGGATGGCATCCCAGAAAGCAGAGGAAAGCAGAGCACTGGCGGCTGTAACTCTTTGTGGGAGGAGTCAAAAATGGGGTTGCAGAGGAAGATCTGCGCCAGGCTTTAAACTGAACAATGGGGCAATCACGCTCTCTTAGCCATACAGGGGTCTCTGCCATGCAGCTTAAAAAGGAGCAGAAAAGCAGGATGTAGAAGCAATGCAGGGTCTTGGCCACGTGGTTTGAAAGGATGCAGAAGGACGCCCACTGACCCACCATGGGGAGGGGCCATACGGTTTTGGATTAAGAGCAGGAGCCTAGCTGATCATGGATGACTGGGAGAAGCTGAGCGGGAGTCTGCCTACCTAAGCTACAGACTTCTATTTCTCTTACTGAGAGACGGTGCTTCTGAATGGCCTGGGTTGGCAAGGGGAACCAAGACTGTGTGTTTGTGGGTGTTTCTTTTGTTTTTAATGGAGTGATATTTAACAGAAAAATTCTGCTGTTATTTTAATCCTGTATAAATTTGAATAGTTCCTTTCCTTTTGATAAGACGTTGGCATTGGGAGTCACGTGTTTTTTTCAGCGGTGGGAAATAGAACCCAAAGTGGTTCTGTTTCACATTTAGGGATGGTTTGTCTTCTTGGTGAGTTAACGTTTATCATTATGAATATCACTCTTTACCTATTGTAATACTCTGTTATTGTCTGTTTTGCCTCACAATTCCATAGCCATATTTGCTTTTCATGGGATGTATTTTTTTAATCTGTGTACTTTAAAAGTGTCCTTTTATTTAAAATGTGTGTGTATATGTGTGCTTGTAAATAGTATGTAGTCTGGGGTTTTTTTTACATCTAGTTTTGAGCTCTGGCTGATGTGGCTCAGTGGCTTGAGTGCCGGCCTGTGAACCAAAGCGTAACTGATTCGGTTCCCCATAGGGGTACACGCCTGGGTTGCCAACCCAGCCCCCAGTAGGGGGCGTGCGAGAGGCAACCACATATTTAATGTTTCTATCCCTCTTTCTCCTCCCCTTCCCCTCTCTCTAAAAAATAAATAAAATCTTTTAAAAATAAATCTAATTTGACAATATCTGGCTGTAACTGAAGCAATAGTTACATTTTATTTGCTGTAGGTTACAGAGATATTGTTTACTTCCCTCATCTTGCTAGTAGTCTCCTATTTTTTCTTATCTGTATTTTTTCAGTTCTTGATCTTCTTACTGGACGCCACTTTAGTAATCCATTAGATCTGTTCTTTTTGATTCTTCGATTTTTAAATATACCTTTTTTTTTTTTTTTTTAGTGATAGGAGATTATATTATACATATTCAACCTATTGCATTCCACATATTATATCAGGACAATGTAAGAACATTGCAACAAGATAATTTTATTTAGGCTTTTTCACTTACTATTGTCATATATTTTACAAACACACCCACACAAAGAACAATTCTAGGTTAATGGAAAAATCAGGTGAAAAATACAGTTTCTACCTACATATCACCTCCAAACACAAACACAATGTCCCCCACATCGTCATTTGGCATTAGTGAGGTACACTTATGACCTTCAATGAACTTCCATTGACATGTTTTTATCAACAAAATACATAGTTTACACTGGAGTAAACTCAGTGTTGTATATTCTATGGGATTGTATAAATGTATAACGTCAGGTATCTACATTATAGTAGTACACAGAATAGCCCCACCAATTTATGTTTTTTTTCTTCCTTTTGAACCTCTGTCAACCACTGATTTTTCTCTTTACTGACTTTATTTTATTATTTTTCCTTTTCCAGAATGTCATGTAGTTGGAATCATATAGTAAGTATCCTTTTAGGTAAGCTTCTTTCACTTAGTAATATGCATTTAAAGTTCTTCCATATCTTTTCATTTTTAATATATATAATTTTAATATTCTATTTACTTAAATAATTTAATATAAATTTAAAAATATATTTTATTTTATACAGGTAAATTCTTTTCATCTTTTTGTTTTTATAAAAATCCTTTTTATTTTGCCTTAATTTTAAAAGTGTATTCCTATTTAATAAATAATTCTGTACTGACAGTTATTTTATATTTTATTTATTTATTATCTTAAAATTTTTGGTCCCGGTGACTTTTGCTTTCCATTGCTTCTAATGAAAAGTGGTTTCTGGATTCCATTATTCCTAACATTATTCTTAATGCTGTTCCCCAGAATATATCTTTAACTGTTTTAAAGACCTTTTTCTCTTTATTTTTGGTTATCTCTGTTTACTCTGTGCCCAGATGTGTATTTGATGTTAATTATCTTTAAAATTTGGAATTTTGTTGAGTTTATATCTTTTACTAACTTTAGAAAATTCTTAATCATTATCATTTCAAGTGTTTTCCCTACCCAATTCTCTCTCTTTTCTCATTCTATTAGTCTGATTGTATGTAGATGATTTTATATTTTCCCACAGTCTCTGAAATTCTCTGCTTTTTTCATAATTTTTCAGCTCATGTTTCATTTGAATGATTACCATGGTAGCACCTGCATTAGGAAAATAGAATTTTTTAATTTGTATTTTAGTTTATTATGTATATTTAGTTTATTATTATATAGTTTTGTATATTTGTTTATTATTATGGTAGATGTGTTATCATATCTGTTAAGTGATCATCTGAGGAAACAATGATAGCCATTTGGTTGGTGCAAACTCTTAAGCAGATTTATTTCAGTTTTACAATCATGACCAAGATATTCCAAAAAGATATTTGTGGTTTATTTCACTGATAATTGTCCCAGAAATCAGTGTGTTTAATCAGTCATTTTCTAATTTT